ATAGTCATGCAGGTACNAATAAAATCAATCATTAAAAATTTGTAATTTTTTTCTTCTATTTTTATTAATTTATTGAAAGATGTAACTATTACTGTTATTTGAATGTGAAATAACATTGAAATTGAACCATAAGATTCTTATAGTCATGCAGGTACCTAATCACAAGCATATAAAGTGCGCTTAAATTTTCAAATGCATTTCAGAAATGGCTAACTAATGCAGTTTATTATTTTAAGGAGGAAACATCTTGAAGGTTTACTGTTACATTTTAGATTTTCAAATCCATGACTTTTCATGAATAATTTCTTTAAGCCATGAATAATTCCATGCATTTTTCACGACTTAAAGAATTTACTATTTTCTCCGCCAAAAACAGAACAATAAATTTAAAAAAGCATTATAATTAATTTAATTGAAATGATAGGGATAACCAAAACTGTTATAGTTTGCATCTTCATATTTATCGACATTAAATTTAAAAAACAGAGTAAAGGATGAATTAAAGCAATAAAATAGACAGAAAAAATACAAAAGCAAATAATTTTCTTCTTTTTTCTGTAGAATTTTACTCTAAAGATAATTTTCTTGTTCATAGGAAAGGAAAGAAATACTCCAATTTTTTCGTTCTCAGTTCGGTATAAAAAAATTCGCCTGGCTTGGCTTGCTTCAGCTAGAATTTTAAATTGATAAAATAAAAATAAAAATTCTGAAATAACAGAAGTTTAAAAGATAATTTGCATAAGAAATGTTTTTTCTTTCACTTTTTGAAAGAACACCATAATTTTTAAAGAACATAAAACATTTTATATGTTATCAAATATGACAGTAAGTGGGGAGTTTGTTACAAATTTAAATATTCGAAACACCATGAAATTGGGAGGGGGGGGGGTAAATTCTATTTTAAAATTTGATTAATTCATGACTTTCCATGATTTTTTTTTTTTGAAAAATAGCTAAAATCATGACATTTCATGACAAAATTTGTTCAACACCGAAATTCATGACTTTCCAGGTTCGAAGTTACCCTGAATTTTATAGCTGGGAATCGCTGATTTTTCATTAAAACTTGATCCCAGTACCTCAAATCGCGTCTAGAAGTCGTGGGAAGACTGATTTTTCATTCAAATTTGACCCTAGTACCTCCAAACACCGCTAAAATCATCGCAGTAATTCTGTTTTGCTCAATAACTTGATCCCAGTACCTCCGAAATTCTCCTTGAATCTTCGGAATTAGGCTTCAATTGGGTACTAGAACCAATATCCTCCAAAAAGACCTTAAATCCACGGAGTTACTGGTTTTCGCTCATATCTCGAACCCTGTACTTCCGATCACCGCTTAAATCATCGGAGTAACTCTTCAATGGAGTACTGGAACCCTTCTCCTCTGAATCGATGCTTAAATCCTCGGAGTAACTTTGTTTAAAGTACTGGAACCCATCTCCTCTAAATCCGTGCTTAAGTCCTCGGAGTAACATTGTTTTGCTTGAAACTTGACCCCAGTACCTCAAATCACCGCTTAAATCATCTAAGTAACACTTCAATTGAGTACAGGATCCCCTCTCCTCTAAATCCCTGCTTAAGTCCTCGGAGTAACTTTATTTTGCTTAAAAACTGGACCCTAGTACCTCCAATCACTGCTTAAATCCACGGAGTAACACACTGAAACTTGATCCCAGTACCTCCAATTATCTAATTATAGCTGGGAATCGCTGATTTTTCATTAAAACTTGATCCCAATACATCAAATCGCGTCTAGAAGTCGTGGGAAGACTGATTTTTCATTCAAATTTGACCCCAGTACCTCCAAACACCGCTAAAATCATTGCAGTAATTCTGTTTTTCTTAATAACTTGATCCCAGTACCTCCGATCCTCAAAATTCTCCTTGAATCTTCGGAATTAGGCTTCAATTGGGTACTAGAACCAATATCCTCCAAAAAGACCTTAAATCCGCGGAGTTACTATGTTTTGCTCCAAACTTGACCCCAGTACCTCCGATCACCGCTTGCATCGGAGTAACTATCCAATTGAGTCTTGGAACCCATCTCCCCTAAATCCCTGCTTAAGTCCTCGGAGTAACATTGTTTTGCTCAAAACTTGACCCCAGTACCTCCGATCACCGCTTAAATCATCGGAGTAACTATCCAATTGAGTTCTGGAACCCATCTCCCCTAAATCCCTGCTTAAGTGCTCGGAGTAACTTTCCTTTGCTCAAAACTTGACCCTAGTACCTCCAATCACCGCTTAAATCCACGGAGTAACACACTGAAACTTGATCCCAGTACCTCCAATTATCTATTTATAGCTGGGAATCGCTGATTTTTCATTAAAACTTGATTCCAATACATCAAATCGTGTCTAGAGGTCGTGGGAAGACTGATTTTTCACTCAAATTTGACCCCAGTACCTCCAAACACCGCTAAAATCATCGCAGCAAATCTGCTTTTCTCACTAACTTGATCCCAGTACCTCCGATCCTCAAAATTCTACTTGAATCTTCGGAATTAGGCTTCAATTGGGTACTAGAACCAATATCTTCCAAAAAGATCTTAAATCCGAGGAGTTACTGATTTTAGCTCATATCTTGAACCCTGTTCCTCCGATCACCGCTTAAATCATCGGAGTAACTCTTCAATGGAGCACTGAACCTTCTCCTCTGAATCACTGCTTAAAATTGCTTTGCTTAAAACTTGACCCCAGTATCTCAGGTAACTGCTTAAGTCCTCGGAGTGACGTTGTTTTGCTTGAAACTTGACCCCAGTACCTCAAATCACCGCTTAAATCATCTAAGTAACACTCCAATTGAGTACTGGAACCCATCTCCTCTAAATCCCTGCTTAAGTCCTCGGAGTAACATTGTTTTGCTTGAAACTTGACCCCAGTACCTCAAATCACCGCTTAAATCAAAGTAACACCTTAATTGAGTACTGGAACCATGAGTACTGGAATCCATCTCCTCTAAATCACTACTTTAGTCCTCGGAGTATCTTTCTTTTGCTTAAAACTTGACCACAGTACCTCAAATCACCGCTTAAATCATCGGAGTAACTATCCAATTGAGTACTGGAACCCATCTCCTCTAAATCACTGCTTAAGTCTCGGAATAACATTGTTTTGCATAAAACTTGACCCCAGTACCTCAAATCACCGCTTAAATCATCTAAGTACCACACCAATTGAGTACGGGAACCCATCTCCTCTAAATCACTATTTAAGTCCTCGGAGTAACTTTCTTTTGCTTAAAACTTGACCCCAGTACCTCAAATCACCGCTTAAATCATCTACGTAACAATCCAATTGAGTCCTGGAACCCATCTCCTCTAAATCACTATTAAAGTCCTCGGAGTAACATTCTTTTGCTTTAAACTTGACCCCAGTACCTCAAATCACCGCTTAAATCATCTAAGTAACAATCCAATTGAGTACTGGAACCCATCTCCTCTAAATCACTGCTTAAGTCCTCGGAGTAACTTTCTTTTGTTTAAAACTTGACCGCAGTACCTCAAATCACCGCTTAAATCATCGGAGTAACTATCCAATTGAGTACTGGAACCCATCTCCTCTAAATAACTGCTTAAATCCTCGGAGTAACTTTGTTTTGCTTAAAAACTTGACCCCAGTACCTCTAATCACTGTTTAAGTCCTCGGAGTAACTTTGTTTTGCTTAAAAACTTGACCCCAGTACCTCCAATCACAGCTTAAATCCACGGAGTAAAACATTGAAACTTGATCCCAGAATAGTTTCACATAGTTTCACATAGCTTAAATCATCTAAGTTACACTCCAATTGAGTACTGGAACCCTTCTCCTCTAAATCACTGCTTTTGTCCTCGGAGTAACTTGGTTTTGCTTAAAACTTGACCCCAGTACCTCAAGTCACTGCTTAAGTCCTCGGAGTAACTTTGTTTTGCTTAAAACTTGTCCCCAGTACCTCAAGTCACCGCTTAAATCATCTAAATAACACTCCAATTGAGTACTGGAACCCTTCTCCTCTAAATTACCGCTTAAGTCCTCGGAATAACTTTGTTTTGCTTAAAACTTGACCCCAGTACCTCAAGTCACCGCTTAAATCATCTAAGTAACATTCCAATTGAGTACTGGAACCCTTCTCTTCTAAATCACTGCTTAAGTCATCGGAATAACTTTGGTTTGCTTAAAACTTGACCCCAGTACCTCAAGTAACCGCTTAAATCATCTAAGTAACACTCCAATTGAATACTGGAACCCTTCTCCTCTTAATCACTGCTTAAGTACTCGGAGTAACTTTCTTTTGCTTAAAACTTGATCCCAGTACCTCAAGACACTGCTTAAGTCCTCGGAGTAACTTTGTTTTGCTTAAAAACTTGATCCCAGTACCTCCAATTCTCTAATTATAGCTAGGAATCACTGATTTTTCATTAAAACTTGATCTCAGTACCTCAAATCGCGGCTTGCAGCCGTGGGAAGACTGATTTTTCATTCAAACTTGACCCCAGTACCTTCAAACACCGCTTAAATCATCGGAGTAATTCTGTTTTTCTTAATAACTAAATCCCAGTACCTCCGATCCTCAAAATTCTACTTGAATCTTCGGAATGACGCTTCAATTGGGTACTAGAACCAATATTCTCAAAAAAGACCTTAAATCCACGGAGTAACTGATTTTCGCATATATCTTGAACCCTGTACCTCAGATCACCGCTTAAATCATCGGAGTAACTCTTCAATGGAGTACTGGAACCATTCTCCTCAAAATCACTGCTTAAGTCCTCGGAGTAACATTGTTTTGCTTAAAACTTGACCCCAGTACCTCAAGTCACCGCTTAAATCATCCAAGTAACACTCCAATTGAGTACTGGAACCCTTCTCCTCTAAATCACTGCTTAAGTCCTCGGATCAACTTTGTTTTGCTTAAAACTTGACCCCAGTACCTCAAGTCCCCGCTTAAATCATCTAAGTAACACTCCAATTGAGTAGTGGAAGCCTTCTCCTCTAAATCACTGCTTAAGTCCATTTAAAACTTGACCCCAGTACCTCAACTCCCCGCTTAAATCATCTAAGTAACACTCCATTTGAGTACTGGAACCCATCTCCTCTAAATCCCTGCTTAAGTCCTCGGAGTAACATTGTTTTGCTCAAAACTTGACCCCAGTACCTCCGATCACCGCTTAAATCATCGGAGTAACTATCCAATTGAGTTCTGGAACCCATCTCCCCTAAATCCCTGCTTAAGTGCTCGGAGTAACTTTCCTTTGCTCAAAACTTGACCCTAGTACCTCAAATCACCGCTTAAGTCCTCGAAAGAACATTTCTTTTGCTTAAAACTTGACCCCAGTACCTCAAATGCCACTGAAATCATCGGAATAAATATCCAATTGAGAACTGGAACCCATCTCCTCTAAATCACTGCTTAAGTCCCTCGGAGTAACATTGTTTTGCTCAAAACTTGACCCTAGTACCTCAAATCACCGCTTAAATCATCGGAGTAACTATCCAATTGAGTCCTGGAACCCATCTCCTCTCAAAAAGATATTAAATCCGCCGAGTTACTGGTTTTCGCTCATATCTTTAATCCAGTTCCCCTAAATCCCTGCTTAAGTCCTCGGAGTAATATCCAATTGAGTACAGGAACCCATCTCCACTAAATCACTGCTTAAGTCCTCGGAGTAACATTGTTTTGCTTAAAAACTTGACCCCAGTACCTCAGATCACTGCTTAAGTCCTCGGAGTAACTTTTTTTTGCCTAAAAACTTGATCCCAGTACCTCCAATCACCGCTAAAATCCACGGAGAAACACAATGAAACCTAATCCCAGTACCTCCAATTCTTTAATTATAGCTGGGAATCGCTGATTTTTCATTAAAACTTGATCCCAGTACCTCAAATCGCGTCTAGAAGTCGTGGGAAGACTGATTTTTCATTCAAATTTGACCCCAGTACCTCCAAACACCGCTAAAATCATTGCAGTAATTCTGTTTTTCTTAATAACTTGATCCCAGTACCTCCGATCCTCAAAATTCTACTTGAATCTTCAGAATTAGGCTTCAATTGGGGACTAGAACCCATATCCTAAAAAAAGACCTTAAATCCGTGGAGTTACTGATTTTCGCTCATATCTTGAGCCCTGTGCCTCCGATCACCGCTTAAATCATCGGAGTAACTCTTCAATGGAGTACTGGACCTTCTCTGAATCACTGATTAAATCCTCGGAGTAGATAACTNAATCACTACTTAAGTCCTCGGAGTAACTTAGTTTTGCTTAAAACTTGACCCTGACCCCAGTACCTCAAATCACCGCTTAAGTCATCGGAGTAACTATCCAATTGAGTACAGGAAACCATCTCCTCTAAATCACTGCTTAAGTCCTCGGAGTAACATTGTTTTGCATAAAACTTGACCCCAGTAGCTCAAATCGCCGCTTAAATCATCTAAGTAACACTCCAATTGAGTACAGTAACCCATCTCCTCTGAATCACTGATTAAATCCTCGGAGTAACTTTGCTTTGCTTAAAACGTGACCCCAGTACCTCAAGTCACTGCTTAAGTCATCGGAGTAACTTTCTTTTGCTTAGAACTGGACCCCAGTACCTCAAGTTACTGCTTAAGTCCTCGGAGTAACTTTGTTTTGCTTAAAAACTTGACCCCAGTACTTCCAANTCTTTTGCTTAAAACTTGACCCCAGTACCTCAAATCCCCGCTTAAATCATCTAAGTAACACTCCTTTTGAGTACTGGAACCCATTTCCTCTAAATCACTACTTAAGTTCTCGGAGTAACTTTCTTTTGCTTAAAACTTGACCGCAGTACCTCTAATCAGCACTTAAATCATCGGAATAACTATCCAATTGAGTACTGGAACCCATCTCCTCTAAATCACTGCTTATGTCCTCGGAGTAACATTCTTTTGCTTAAAAATAGAAAAACTGTTTTCTGCCAAGAAAAAAAACAATTATTGCGAAGCAATCATGGGGATTGATGAGTGGTAGCGAACAGGGGACTTTGCCCCCTAACATTACATAAAAATATATTTAAATTAGGAATACAAAACATTTTAAGGAAAACAACACCTTTATGACTTTTGTTAAGTTCGTGCTGATGACAACCAAACAAATTTGGAAATTGAGTTGAGAAAACTGGATACTACATGTGATCTTCTGACTATTAAGAAAGCCATCGACAGATATGTCATTGTTTCAAGTTATTGCAACAACTTAACTCCATCACTGGACTTCTAGTATTCTGATATTCTCTCTCAGTTTTAGTCTCCTTAGTACAGTCCGCCAGTTGACTGTACTAAATCCAGTTATGAGATTTTTAATAGAGATGTCTAAGCTATCGTCACTTCACTTACCAACCTGTCTACTTGCAACTCATCATTGATCAATAGATGCGACCAACAGGAATACGGGTTTTTCCCCTATAGGAATACGAATCGTTCAATAGGAGTAGTGCAAATAAACCCTCTAAATCACTGCTTAAATCCTCGGAGTAACTTTCCATTGCTCAAAACTTGACCCCAGTACCTCAAATCATCGCTTAAATCATCTAAGTAACAATCCAATTGAGTACTAGGACCCATCTCCCCTAAATCCCTGCTTAAATTGATCCCTGCTGAAATTGATTGAATGATAGTGGAACTCTGATCTAGTTTAGCCTCTGATTTAGAAATCTTCATATTTATTACGTAATGACTTTTTCTGAATGTTTTGTTCAATTCTAGCAAGATTAATAAAAATAAAATATCTGAAACCAAAGTAGAGTATTTTCGAAAGAAGCATTTGAAAAAAACCATCTCACATACTACTAAATTCTTAGAAATTCACTAATAAATTTGTGAGATATTTTTGAATGCGTATAGGAAAAATTTTATGTTTAATTAAGCAATAATTTTGAGCTTTTTTATGCAGTGCTAAGAAGAAAATTTAAAAAAAAAATATCTTTAAATAGTATTTCCTATTGACAGAAACTCACAATTCACTATTTTTCAAGTGTTTCTGCATTTTTAATGATTTATCAATTCACTTGAATTCCATTAATTTGACGAATTATGTGTTTAATTTAATACGTTTACAAATTACATAGTGCATTAATTTCTTAACATGTTTTTAAAACTTAAAAGCTTTTAACACAAAATGAGGTATAAAGCTTAGCATAAATAGTAACGAGTTAGAAATTAATGAAATTAAACGAGCAATAAATCTTCAACGCCTTTGGAATTATTAAACTTATTACAAAACACTTTTATTAATAGTAACAATAAATCACTTAAGAAAGTAATAAAACTGTTAAGAGTTACTGCATATACGAGGAAAATGGCAAAATTTGATTTATCTTATAGTATAAAATAACATTTTATCGCCTCTCTTACGTAAAAGCTTAACGCTTGCAGAATTATTCGACATTTAAAAACTAATTAGCTTAGAAGCATATTCATTTTGTCTAATTTGGCTTATCGTTTTCAGCTACCTGTATTAATAGTATTTTCTCTTAATGATAAACTACATTAAAACTAAGGTTTCTCTCCGAATTTTTATGGATTATGCATATAATAAAGTTATGTCTTACTAAAAGCATAACTTTGTTAACAACTGTGCAACGACGACAATAACATTTACGTCTTTGAAAAAAATATGATTTGGAAGAAAAGGTTTTTTATAAATGTCATATTTCGAAAAATGTTTCAAATTTTTAAATGTAAACTTTTTCTGTTAAAAAAAATGTCATGTATTTAATTCTTCTTAGATTGTTAATTCCTTGTATAGCATAATTTCTAAAACTATTTTTAATTTTCAGCTTCAAAACTTTGTTTTTAAATACGTTACATTTTGGTTATTAATTCCCATAAAAATGATGAGAAGCAAAAATAAAAATGCACATTAAAATTACTTAAAATATCATAGGTGCGTGGATGACATGTGGTTACAAATGTTCTAATATGTAAAATTAATATACACTTGTGGGCAGCGCCCCCTGCTCGCTAACGCTCGTTAACCCCCAAAAATTGCTACACAATCTTATATGGTTTGCTTCGCAAACCAAGCTCGAATCGCTCGCTACTAACTTAGGTGCATTGCAAATACACAAAATTGTAAGAATTCAAAACAATCATTCAAATCCATATTTTTTTAAAAAAAATACATCTTTTTAGTAAATTCTGAGTCATTAAAATAAATTTGAATTCAAATAATCTTCTAAATCACTGCTTAAGTCCTCGGATTAACTTTGTTTTGCTTAACAGTTGACCCCAGTACCTCAAGTAACCGCTTAAATTATCTATGAAACTCCCCAATTGAGTACTGGAACCCTTCTCCTCTAAATCACTGCTTAAGTCCTCGGAGTAACTTTGTATTGCTTAAAATTTGACCCCAGTACCTCAATTCACCGCTTAAATCATCTAAGTAACACTCCAATTGAGTTCTGGAACTCTTCTCCTCTAAATCACTGCTTAAGTCCTTGGAGTAACTTTGTTTTTCTCAAAACTTGACCCTAGTACCTCAAGTCACCGCTTAAATCATCTAAGTAACACTCCAATTGAGTACTGGAACCCTTCTCCTCTAAATCACTGCTTAAGTCCTCGGAGTAACTTTCTTTTGCTTAAAACTTGATCCCAGTACCTCAAGTCACTGCTTCAGTCCTCGTAGTAACTTCGTTTTGTTTAAAACCTTGATCCCAGTACCTCCAATTCTCTAATTATAGCTGGGAATCACTGATTTTTCATTAAAACTTGATCCTAGTACCTCAAATCGCGGCTTGAAGCCCTGGGAAGACTGATTTTTCATTCAAACTTGACCCCAGTACTTCCAAACACCGCTTAAATCATCGGAGTAATTCTGTTTTTCTTAATAACTTGATCCCAGTACCTCCAATTTTCAAAATTCTACTTGAATCTTCGGAATGACGCTTCAATTGGGTACTAGATCCAATATCCTCTAAAAAGACCTTAAATCCGCTGAGTAACTGATTTTCGCTTATATCTTGAACCATGTACCTCAGATCACCGCTTAAATCATCGGAGTAACTCTTCAATGGAGTACTGGAACCCTTCACCTCTAAATCACTGCTTAAGTCCTCGGAGTAACTTTGTTTTCCTTAAAACTTGACCCCAGTACCTCAAGTCACTGCTTAAGTCTTCGGAGTAACTTTGTTTTGCCTAAAACCTGAGACCAGTACCTCAAGTCACTGCTTAAGTCCCGGAGTAACTTTGTTTTGCTTAAAACTTGACCCCAGTACCTCAAGTCACCGCTTAAATCATCTAAGTAACACTCCAATTGAGTACTGGAACCCTTCTCCTCGAAATCACTGCTTAAGTCCTCGAAGTAACTTTGTTTTGCTTAAAATTTGACCCCAGTACCTCAAGTCACTGCTTAAATCGTCTAAGTAACACTCCACTTGAGTACTGGAACCCTTCTCCTCTAAATCACTGCCTAAGTACTCGGAGTAACTTTGTTTTGCTTAAAACTTGACCCCAGTACCTCAAGTCATCGCTTAAATCATCAAAGTAACACTCCAATTGAGTACTGGAACCCTTCTCCTCTAAATCACTGCTTAAGTCCTCGGAGTAACTTTGTTTTGCTTAAAACTTGACCCCAGTACCTCAAGTGACCGCTTAAATCATCTAAGTAGCATTCCAATTGAGTACAGGAACCCTTCTCCTCTAAATCACAGCTTAAGTCCTCGTAGTAACTTTGATTTGCTTAAAACTTGACCCCAGTACCTCAAGTGACCGCTTAAATCATCTAAGTAACACTCCAATTGAGTACTGGAACCCTTCTCTTCTAAATCGCTGCTTAAGTCTTCGGAGTAGCTTTGTTTTGCTTAAAACTTGACCCCAGTACCTCAAGTCACCGCTTAAATCATCTAAGTAACACTCCAATTGAGTACTGGAACCCTTCTCCTCTAAATCACTGCTTAAGTCCTCGGAGTAGCTTTGTTTTGCTTAAAACGTGACCCCAGTATCTCAAGTCACCGCTTAAACACATTGACACTTGATCCCAGTACCTCCAATTTACTGATTATAGCTGGGAATCGCTGATTTTTCATTAAAACTTGATCCCAGTACCACAAATCGCGTCTAGATGTCGTGGGAAGACTGATTTTTCATTTAAACTTGACCCCAGTACCTCCAAACACCGCTAAAATCATCGGAGTAATTCTGTTTTTCTTAATAACTTGATCCCAGTACCTCCGATCCTCAAAATTCTACTTGAATCTTCGGAATGACGCTTCAATTGGGTACTAGAACCAATATCCTCCAAAAAAACTTTAAATCCGCGGAGTTACTGATTTTCGCTCATATGTCGAACCCTGTACCTCCGATCACAGCTTAAATCATCGGAGTAACTCTTCAATGGAGTACTGGAATCCTTCTCCTCTGAATCACTGCTTAAGTCCTCATATCACGAACCCTGTACCTCTGATCACCGCTTTAATCATCGATGTAACTCTTCAATGGAGTACTGGAACCCTTCTCCTCTGAATCACTGCTTAAATCCTCGGNCCCCAGTACCTCAAATCACCGCTTAAATCATCTAAGTAACACTCCAATTGAGTACTGGAACCCCTTTCCTCTAAATCACTGCTTAAGACCTCGGAGTAACTTTCTTTTGCTTAAAACTTGACCCCAGAACCTCAAGTCACCGCTTAAATCATCTAAGTAACACTCCAATTGTGTACTAGAACCCCTCTCCTCCAAATCACAGCTTAAGTCCTCGGAGTAACTTTCTTTTGCTTAAAACTTGACCCCAGTTCCTCAAGTGACCGCTTAAATCATCGGAGTAACTATCCAATTTAGTACTGGAACCCTTCTCCTCTAAATCACTACTTCAGTCCTCGGAGTAACTTTGTTTTGCATCTTGAGCCCAGTTCCTCTGATTTTTCATTGAAACTTGATGGTGCGTGATATAGATCCATGGTTGATTTTAGACATGCTGCTTGTTTGTCAGTTTGCCCTTATATCAATTGTGGGTGTACAATATTTGCTTGAGATGTCGCAATTGCGGGAGTCGCTAACGCGCGTGACAGGGAGCTGCGCCCCATCTCTGCTGTCCAGGCGGCCGCTCTATGCGGCCGCCTGGACGCAGCACCCCCTGCTTAAGCGACCGTTCATGTGCGCGTTTGCGTATACCAGAATTCCCTATTAACCGAACTCCTCCGCGAAAAGACTATGGGCCAACTGAGTATCACGAAGAGTTCTGCTTTTACGAGAACAAGCTTGTGTTACCCAGTTTTATAGCGCCCTTTTTCAAATAAAAGATTTACTTACCTTCCTTTATTGATTCTTTATCCCTTTGTACAGTACTGGGACATATACGACCCACTTTACTTAGTTGTAATTTAAACCCTCTAATTCAATCGCAGCTACTGCCCTCTATAAACATTTTACGATATATATTATCTATGAATACAATTTCTTTTTCAAAATCTGGCATCACCAGAGGCATTCCAAGTGTAACAAAACAAACATTAACAAATGCAACAATTAACAACACAACAAGTATTAACACATTTTTCTTAATATTTAAACATTTTTCTTTAGAAAATTATGAACATATAAAGCTTAGTTATTGTTTATGTTTTGAAAAAATCGACTTTTGTTTT